TCCTAAAGACTGTAAAAATACAAAAGTTAGAAAACATATATCAGAAGGGTCCATAGGGGAGGAGTTCAAGTGATCCAATGTCACCATTTTTTGACATTTTTTGGTGTTTATTTGAGATTTTATGCACTATACATCATCTAATCAAGACAATCCTCATATTTATCAATTCCTCATGCAAAGACGACGAGAAAATTTTCATTTTCCGCAGCCAAAAATCAAGCGCGGACACAAAAGATGATACAAAAAATCACATATGGGACAAAAATTTGCGCGGGGAACATCAAAATTCCTTTTCTAGACACCTTAAGGATTACAAAAAACTAGGTTAAAAAAATATATCTTTCGGGTGTAGGTGAACCCCCCCTTCCTACCAGACTATTTTCATTTTGCAGCAAACGTTGCTAGAATGGTAATGTAAAATATAAATTAAAATACAGAATGCAATACCATTTTACATAATGCATTGTTGTTTTGCATATTGCATTTTTATTGCTACCCATTTGCTTCCATACAATACACACCCTACAATTTAATATAATATCACGTATTATAAAGATCCCTCATATTTAATGTTTTATGATTTGTTAATTGCAATAAACAAATTACAGTTTCATTTAAACATTATCAGTTGTTTGTAAAAGGTGTTTTGATGCATGTTTCTGCTTGTAATTACACTGTTCTGACCAGCAGGAGTCGCCAGAGTGGCGCTGAGAATCAGTGAATCAATGAATCAGTTCATGAAGCAAATGAGTCAATACATCAAAAGGAATGATTTCACTTATTGCTATTGAGTCATGTGTACCAGCATATATGCAATCCTATGCATTCATTCAATTCATGTAAGGTAATTAGGGCTTTCAAACGATTAATCGCTTCCAAAATAAAAGTTAAGTTTGTGTTTACATAGTATATGTGGGTGCACGGTGTATAATTATTTTGTATATATATATATAAATACACACACATGCATGTATATTTAAAAAAAATATTATTTATATATAAAATATTTATATTTATGTATAATATAAATCTATATATAGTATATACATGAAAATATTTATTAAATATATACAAGCATGTGTGTGTATTTATATATATAAAATAATTATACACCGTGCACCCACATATACTATGTAAACACAAACTTTTTGATTGATTGATTTACACTAGTAGGCAGGCTGCATTTTTTGCGTGCGCACTGTTGACGTTGCGGCATTGATAGAAATGGATAGAAAATAGTCCCGCGTTAAAACTGAGGTATGAATTTTGACCGGCGTGTTTTTTGTGTGGTAAATTAATCAAGCTTTGAAACGCAAATCATTTTTTCACGTAAAAACGCACAGTTTTGTGGCCTCGGGAGTACTTCATTGAAAAACTTCCAGCGGTCAGAACTCTGACCAGGGGGGTCACACTCACAGCAGAGTGGGTCAGTGTGTATGCACTATAGTGCTGGGAAGGATTGCATACAACTTCATGTCTTAAACGGGCGAACTAACCCTTTAAGAATAAATGACTTAATACATCAGCTGAATCCGTGTGCTCCTCGAACTGGAAACTAGCAACTGAGGAAACTTTTCCAGAAATTATTCCTCACTGCGCAGCAGGATGAGATAAAGGTCAGGGCCTTCTGATGTGGGCGTTTTCATGCCTTGCCTCAACATTAGCGTTTGACTAGCGCGCGCTCTCAGTGGGCGGGGTCACATTACGCTATAATTAGGTGAAAGGAAAAAGACCGACATCTCTCTGTTTTCATACAGATTACATCAACTGAGAATAGTTGCTTTTTTATATAAATTTAAATATAATATTCAATATAAAATATACATTTCAGCTCTTTCGTGTCTCTGTGACAAGTATTTAATGAGTTACAGTTCATTTTTCGGACGCGTTTAAGAGTGGAGAACGCAAAACTCACATCATGTTTATTTTTCTGTATTTTGAGTATCCACAAAAAAATAGAAACTGTATGTAAGATCAAAATCAGGAGTTTTTTGAGTCTCTTTTGCACTGATAAGTAAAGTGAGCATATCACGCCGGCGTGATTGTTGACCCCATGGGGTTGACCCTTCAGCCGCCAAAGGTTATTTTCCTAAAACATTCAATTTTGACATCTTATCTTAAAAGTGATAAAAGATATATGTAAATTAGAGAAATATTAAGGATGACCCAAAGTTTATGTAGGGATTACATTTCCCCATCTAATTAGCATTTTATGACATCATATGGTGGCAGAAATCATGGATTGTAGAATGTTTAATGATCAAATGCAGCACTACTTCCAATACTGAATGCTCAGGTATACAGTGAGTAGTAAACAAACTGTGTAAATCATTACTAATAAATGGTAGAAACAAACCGTTGGCCTTTTGCTGTAGAGATTTTCCATTTACTACATACAGTAGGCACTCTGGTTCCATTTATATATTAAACATATGACACACAAACACAGGTAGAAAAGACCCGCTCACTCGCTACGGCCAGGCTCAGATCATCAGTGAGATGATAGATCAGCGCGAGCGCAGCCACACAGCTCCGACTATCGTCATTGCGACTCACCACGTCGCCCCCTATCTGTGCTATGAATACTTCGACCTCGTCTCATATACCCAGTGGTATTGCCACCACAATACTGTCGCCGCGATCGCAGAGTCTCTGATGAAATGGCTCACTCTAACACTAGCTCTGCTTTTGATCGCACTAATTTAAGTAAGGGTTAATGCCCGACGAGGTGTCCATTGTCAGGTTTTAATGGATGACGGCGAGGCGTGAACCGGCCGACGCGCAGCGGACCTGACAATGGACACCTCGAAGGGCATTAACCTGCTTATACCATGGTCACTTGCCAAATAAAACATTTTTAAAACATTAGCTGCTAGTTTATATTTTAATTAGGCTAAATCAAGTTTTTACAAATAATAACTCGCCTGGTTTATTTAGCAACCAGAGATGTTTATAGTCCGTTCAGCTTGTAGAGCCCTTCAGGTTCAAAAATGCATTTTTTTTCATGAAACACAAAGGTAGGCATAGTTATTTTTATTTTTTTAATTACACATAAAATAATTAATCAAACAGGCTTCTTAGGCTTGAAACGCTGTACTCTCCTCCTGCCGGTTGTCTGGACAGCTGCGTAAAACTCCCACAGGGTCTCATTCAGAGCAGCAGCGGTGTCATTTTCTTTGCGACGTTTCTCCGTTTCATTTACATTTTTTCTTTCTTCAGCAGCATCCCAGTCGTCAAAGTTGTCATATTCTCCATAAATGTTAAAAGAAATAACGAAGTCGCTCATTGTTGTATTAGTAGGCTATGTAATATCTAACTAACGTTAGATGTTTGTTTTGATAGAGCAAATTGTTAACGGATACTTTGACGTTTGACTGCCTGTTGCTATGGTTACTCACAGCTGTTGTGGGCAACGCATTTATTTATTCATTTCGAATGGTAAACAGGCAGTTTCACCAAAACTACTTTACTAGCTGTCCTCTATCACTTTTTAACGGACACCCTGCAGCCAATCAGAATCGAGTATTCACCCAGACCATGGTATAATACGCTTTAACTCGAACATTTTGAATAGAAACTAGGGCTGAACGATTAATTGCATTTGCGATAAAATCGCGATATGATGAAACGCGATTTTGTAATCGCAGTCACGTGACACGCGAGAGAAAAGCAGTCTGCAAGATCAAGCATTAACTTGCCACGCTACGCGGTCTGGCGTTCAGAAAAGAACAGTTTATTTTTAATGTATGTGATATCGTGTTATTTATTCTCTCACCAACAATAAATAATTTTTTTTTAAATCACATATTTAATCGCAATCGCAATATTGGTTAAAAAAAAATCGCAATTAGATTATTTTCCATAATCGTTCAGCCCAAATAGAAACATGACGTTTTTTTGAGTCGGGATGAAGTATGACATGTCTGCCTTCCAGTGGAGGGGATGTTGAACGATATTTGACACCTAATTTGACAAAATCGTCCGTTTCATTCAGTGCCGCATCTTGTCGAGAAAACTCGACCGTGGCGCCTAGAGGGTTAAAGCAAATAAAACCACTTTTACTTTAGTTTTATTCCTCAGAGAAAACCAATCAGGGTTCGACATTAACACTGGTCCAGCACACGTGTTTTTTGTTTGTTTTTGATTTTAAGTGAAAATTGATATAAAATATAATATAATAAAATAACCAAGGAATGTCTATAGTTCACAATAATATAGACATACCTAATGTCCAGACAGTAACAAAGTTTCGCTGTTGAAACACACACAGTTATTAAACATATTAATTAAAAAACAATGTAGACGCACAACAAGAGTGCTGTGTAGGCTAAATGATTTATTTTGATTGGTTGTGTCTTATTATTTTAATCGAATATATTGGTAAAATTAAATAAATTGAAATGAAATTCAGAGCGTTTATTTAATAATGGATGAGCAGCACTCATATCACCCTGTAGCCCATCACTGGCTGCCCACTGAAGCTAAGCTAGACTATATTTTTCCCCTTTAAACTATTTTTCCAGTACATGTTTTACCTTTATAAAATAAATTATGCTTTAATTGAACCAATGTTAGGTAAATATGCAATGATAATAAAAACTAAATTTAATTAAAACCCCAGTAGGTAATTCACTGTCTTAATGAGTGAGTCGTCGAGTCAAATTCAAGCAATTGACTGTAATTATGAACTAATCATTGAATCTCACGATCTGTTCAAAGCAGATAATAATATAATAATACAATAATATAATTATAGTAATATAATTTGATTATTTTTTAAACTGAACAGTTTTACAAGGCGGTGTTCTGCTTTTGTTTTTTTTAAGCACATATTTGACTTTGTGGGTTCAGATGAGATGGCAACAAAAGTGTTTTTGTAACCTGGAATGACAGATATTGATATCTATGGAATTATTAAATGAAATTTAGAAGTTTCCTTTGGTTTTTAAAATAGTGTTTTTAAAGGCACACTGCTAACTCATGCCAACTCATCTGGGTACTTTGCTCATCAGATGTCAATGTCAATGAGTAAGTGGAAGTTTCTTTCTTTATTATTATTGTGCTGTCAGGCCATTTGGGTACTGCATATAAATCCCAAATGCAAGGGCATCTGTTTTGGGTGTTGCAAGGCCCTATTTTTTAATGTTTTATCCGCTGCTACTGCTTTGAGCATAACTCTATTTATTGGTTATAATTTTTTATTTTTTAGACCCGATCTGAGAACATTACTGGCCACCCTGGTCTCAAAAGTCTGTGTGGAAGGGATGCCCAGCAGTAATATGATCAATGTATGCAGACCAAACGTGTTGGATGGTGCTGTGCGGGCCTTCGCAAGGAGAGGTTTTACCCCAGAGGCCAAATTAAGTGTCGTTTTCATGGATGACTACAACCAGGCAGAGGGCGCTGTGGATGAGGGAGGGCCAAAAAGGGGGTTTTCCCGACTCCTCATGTTAGCGCTTAAGGAAAGTGCCAAAATAATTTGTCGCTGGATAGCCGTGTTTGGTATTCTTCATATGTTCTCTTTGTTTAACTTGCTTTTTTAATTATATTTATGCCTTTGTTTTCAATCGTAGATTTAATTTTATAATTTTCTAATGCAAAATACTTTACACACAGTATGTCTTATCTGAAAAAGTCTATATTTTTGCATCATTACAGCGAGGTCTGTAGGAGCAAGTTTATGGAACAATGATTGCTGTGGCACTGACACATGGAGGATTGTTTCCTTTTTTTTTCAGAGAGACTTTATCAAAACCTGTGCTCATCATCACCCACTCTTGAGGAAGGAGCAGATGTGGATTTGCTGTGCAAATTAAAAAAGGAATAACATAATTCTTAATTATTCAATCCAATCACAAAATGCCTGATTCTACTAATGAACAGTCAACTAATAAACTGACAGATCAGTGATGCAGGAGACAGTACAGCAGCTAGAGATGCCATTACGGAAGCTGTCCTCGTTGGGGTCCCAGGGGCATATCAGCACCATGGAGGAACGGGACCAGCTAGTTCAGGCAGCCATTACTTTAATGTGGAAGGACATACCAAAGAAGCCTAACAACAGTAAGTGTGGACTGTGTATATTTTAAGTAATTATATTTAATACAAATTGTAACTTGCATTTTGTTTTCAAATCCTTTGCTTTGTTCATGACAGTACCAATGTGGTTGGATCAGATTTTCTCCCTTTTTTTGTAAATTAGGAAAAGGAAAATAGTAGGGCTGTGTATTGGCAAGAATTTGGCGAAACGATATGTATCACGATACATGGGTCACGATTCAATATATTGCGATATATTTCGATACTGTCCATAAGGCGATATATTGGGATTAGGGCTGGGCAAAAAAAATCGATTTTTCGATTAATCGTTTTTTAAAATGTGTTCGATTCAAAATCGATTCTCAACGATTCCATATAAAGGGCTCGCGGACGCAGTGCTGCATCTCTCGTCTCTCTGCACTAGGCAAGCGCTGCAGCTGTCGATACACACACGCGTTCAGGAGTCGGGACACGACGGAATATTCACTTAACAATCGGGCCAGCATTGCATCGTAACCTATGATCGTAACTAACGTTTATCATTTTCACGTCTTTTTGTGCTTTACAAGCAATGTTAAACCATCCCGTGCTCGCGCACTCTCAGAGATGTCTTTCACTGCGTGCACAGTAACGTTACAGCCTAAATCTGCCTCACAAACAGCGCGCCAGAAACAAAAGTTTTATCCCTGGATTATATCGCTTTAACAGTTAAAACACGCGACATTATGTCAAAACTCTGGTCTTGGTGAGTAACCTCGTATAGACAGTCGGTAATGTCTTAAATTAGCATTAAACGCGTGTGACAGAAAGTTAATGAAACAGTAATGGATTCGCGCACTAGTTCTTAAAGTGAACGCAGCCATTTGTGTCAGTCATTAATTCTGTTGTCATAACAACAGAATATAGTATTAATTGTAAGCAATCAGAATTAAAAGCCTTTGTATTTAATTCAGTCTGGACTAAAAAGACTATCCAGTGTTATTTTACATTGGATTACTTTAGTCAGTTTCTGTAGTATTTCTGACATAACCAAAAAACTTCCCCAAAATGTCTCTTAATTTGTGTCTTTGTTCTATTGTATTTATTTGTGCTACTTTTTTCAATTTAATTCAAAGATTGAAATCAAGCTTCCATACATAAACTCTTAAAACAAAAATAAACAAAAAATTACATTACCATTTAGGTAAGATCAATGTAAAAAAATGTCTAAATATTTATATATTTATTTATCTATATCTATCTTAAACATAAAATAACATGATACTGTTTGATCAAGCTGTGCGACTGTTCTGACTTTTTTTGTATATTGCATCAAAATCCTGTTTATTCTTTGTATGCATTTAGTGTACCTAAAATAAAAAGAGTTTTATATTCAGGTTTATGGCTCTTAATTTCTTTGTATTAATTAACCACTAGTAAACTTATCTCCACTGTTCTTTTTTATAAATATAGGATTTGTATTACATCTTCATTATAGTCGAATCGAGAATCAAATCAGGAATCGAGAATCGAAATCGAAAATTGAATCGAGAATCGAAATCGAATCGAACTGAGAGCTTGTGAATCGAAATCGAATCGAAATTGAAATGTGAATCGATACCCAGCCCTACTAGAGACGCGACGCGACTGTGAGACGCCGCGCATTCAGAACAGCGTGTGGGCGGAGTCTCTCTGTGAAAGCGCACTGCTGGCCCGCACTCGCATTGGCATCAAATCAAGAAATAACATTATTAAAAATCAAAACATTAACAAAATATACTCATTGACTAATTTTGTTATGAAGTACAGTTGTATGTTTGCATAGAATTAATTTCGAACGCTGTATTATATGCTTTCAAAATCTGAGGTAAATTATCCGTTATCCGTTAAATTATTTTTAACTAAAAATAAATAATGTGTACTCATAACCAGGGTAATTTCTTCATTCTGTCAGCCGCGACGTCGCAGAAATAGGAACCGTTTCTAAATTAGAAACTTTGCGTGTCGCCGTCGCGTCTGGTTAGGACAAAAACTCAGATTAACATGGAAAATATACCTTTTATCGCACGTCGCGTGTAGTTAGGACACGGTGAGACGCCGAATGGCGTACACTCATAGAGAATAATGACGTGTTCGAATTTTAAAGATGTGGTGCTGAGCTTCTCGTCTGGTGTGCGACGCCCTTATAGACTCTCCGCCGAAACCCCCGTTTCACTGTTGCTCACGCGACGGTCCTGCTCGAGCCTCGACGCTTGCGGTGTGAATGAACGCACTCATTGATTAACATGCCGAAAGGCATAGAGCAGGAGCCGGTCTTGACACGGGGTTCAGCCATAGCTATGTTGATTCTAGCAAAACGTTAGGCTAGTGGTGCGTCTTTGCATACCCCCAAAAAAAAAAAAAAAATCGATATTGCGTTTCTGAAAATCGATACAGTATTGCAAAATAAAATATCGCGATACTCAAGTGTATCGATTTTTTCTTACACCCCTATAAAATAGTTGGGTGAGCTATTTTTTGTTTGATTGTTTTCCTGCTGAAGGGCAAATCTACCTACTGCTATTTGCAACGGTTATTTAAAATGGTGCACTTGCTCCTGTTGTTTAGGCTAGTATTGCTTCACTGTAAAATAATGGCCAATTGAGAATGGTCCTTCTAATTCACTTAACCTATGTGTGTTGCTTGGTTCTCATCACTTGGGCATGCTTTTCTAAATGTACACATTATTTTTTTAACAGACTTACAGAAGGGTTACGCACACTTGGCCTTCTGGAGATGATGGAAAACCATCCCAACATCTTCAAGAAGGCATTTTGCTCATCAGAGAGGCCTCTAAAAGCTACTGATCTGATCTCTTTGTCCCCGGTGGAACTGTCCCGTCCTGGAAGCAAAGGTGGAAGGATTTTGGAGAGACTTTCTTTTAGATATTGAAGGTAAATTAATTATTTGCTGGGTAACAGTATTTTGATTTAGTTTGAGCTAGAGATTCAGATTTTCATTGAGTTTGACCTGCCGATACCGAATTTAGCCGATTGCGATTTGAATTTTTTCTGCTGGACGCTCACGCACCGCTCCTGCTCCTGGTGTTAATGCACTCATTGATTAAGCAGAAAAATATACGCGCCTGTGCGCTGTCGATTTATTTTACAACAGCGGAAAGCGGAATCTATACATCTCGATTCTCCAGCTGCAGTCGTCTCTGAGGGAAACCAGTCAAGCGCTCTTTGATAACGGGATGATTACGTCCCTGCAGATCACCTGTCCATCATCGTATAAAGCCCACCCTGGCAATTTGATTGACCCGAACGTTTCTTGTCTGATCATAATTACTCCTCAATGGATCGAGTCCAGACCGAACTTCCCGACCAAACAATGTTGTGGGCGGAGTTCGGGCTGGCATCCAGGCTAGTATTTTCCGCTATCGCAAACCTCAAATGTGCGCTTGCATCGGTGGAACCAGATGATAGGCTTAAATGTTTCCTGGCTTGACTGTTAAAAGCAAACGATTGGCTGTCCAGCAGGAGGGTGGTTACGGGTTGCTGTTACAGGTTTTCCCTATACATTTGTATTAAGGATTGAGGAAATGGCATGTCTCTATATAAATAGTCTCTGGCGCCGGTCAATCGGTGCATCTCTAGTTTGAGCTACTCTGAATTTTACACAATCCTACTGATCATTAATTTTATTGTTTTTATTACCTTATATTTTATAGATGGTGTGTTTGAGATAACACTCGAACAACTGCTGGTGTTCACTTCTGGAGCTGACAGAATACCAGCACTTGGTTTTTCTCCACAGCCAACACTGACTTTCAACCATGAGACTGGGCAGAAATACCCTGAGGCCCTAAAACTGAAACTATGATCCACAACACCTACGAGGAGTTCACCAACTTCATGTGTGAGGGCATTGTTACGGCCTCAGCCTTATGGGTGTTGCCGATGTATTTGTGTGTGTATGGTTGTCTTGTAATCTAATTAATGTTTCTTCTTGAGTGTAGGCTCCTACCTTGCGCACCTGTGGTTCGTTGCTCTGATGGCTCGTGCTGAGCATATAAGCGGTGTGTGCAGGAGTGTGAGACACGCAGCGGTTAACTCCGTGCGCGTCATGACCATCGAAACAGCGATCAACTCAAGACTGTGTTCTGTGTATTGTGCCACTGTTCTGTTTTAGTTTGTTAGTGTTTGGTATGTCTAGTGTAGAGAAAATGTGAGTTTTCTGTGGGAAGAGTGAGAACATGAGAGACGTGAGATTGTGCAGTCATTTATTAGTATAAATAAATGTCTTAAACTGCTTTTTGCCTTGCGTCTCCTTTTATGTTATTGAACCCTTACAAAAGGAGCATTTTTAACAACAGGGTTCGTAACAGGCATTATTCAAGCTCACACTTTTGGACTGGCTTAGTTTAAATGCTCTCACTATACAAAAATAGAGCAGGATTTGACTTTTGTTTTCTTATTTTTATGCATTGTTAAAGCATTAAATGTCTATACAATCTGCAGTCTACTGATGTCGAATTAAAAATGCTGTCTCTAAACAAAAATAGAGCAGGTTCTGACTTTTGTTTTTCTAATTTTATGCATTTGCGTAAATTCCTTCAACATAATTAAAAATTAAAAATAATTAATAAAATATTAAAACTTACAAAATGTGAAAGCTTGGACTTTATTTCATATCAAAAACAGGTTTGCCAGTTTGTTGTGAGATTTACTTTGGCAGAGTGAGAGTGCGAGACAGAGCTCGACAGCTGGCAACCCAGATGACCCATATTTAGGGCCCGAGCACTAACAGTGCGAGGACCCTATTGAAACTGTTAGGGTTATTTTTTTTCTGCAAAGTAAGCGCCATTTTCGGGGCCGCAACATGCTCAAAAACTCACCAAATTTGGCACGCATGTCAGGACTGGTGAAAAATTTCGTATTTTGTGGGTTTCGCGGATGGGCGGGGCAAAACGGCACGCTAGCGCCACCTAGAAAATTGGAAAAAATTAGCCCCTCGTCCACGTTCAACCTACATGCACGAAATTTGGTGGGGATGTGCATCATATCAAGACGCACAAAAAAAGCCTCAAGAACCCATACCCTAAACTCGACAGGAGGTCCGCCATTTTGAATTTGGCGGCCATTTTTGGACGATTTACACACTTCGTACTTTAACGAACTCCTCCTAGGGATTTAGTCGGATCGACTTCAAATTTCTGCTGTGCCTTCTAAAGGCATTGACGATGTAAAGTTGTGCTCTCTGCGCGGTTTCATCGATGGGTGTGTCCGTGGCGTCGAAGATTCGCCATGAAACAGGAAGTTGTAGTAACTTGGCTGTAAATGCCCAGATCTGCATGAAATTTAACACATTTGACAAGAGTCCCGCCCTGAACAAATCTACATGCCGACATTCACCCACAGTCATAGCGCCACCTGCTGGCAACAGGAAGTGATCTTTAACGAAGCAGCCCCCGCCGCTTGTTTGACCGACATGTACGAAATTTCTGTGGTACATCTACCATGTCCAGACGCACAAAAAAGCCTCAAGAACCCATACCCTAAACTCAACAGGAAGTCCGCCATTTTGAATTTGGCGACCGATTTGGGACGATTTATACACTCCGTACTTTAACGAACTCCTCCTAGGGAATTAGTCGGATCGACTTCAAATTTCTGCTGTGCCTTCTAAAGGCATTGACGATGTAAAGTTGTGCTCTCTGCGCGGTTTCATCGATGGGCGTGTCCGTGGCGTCGAAGATTCGCCATGAAACAGGAAGTTGTAGTAACTTGGCTGTAAATGCTCAGATCTGCACGAAATTTTACACATTTGACAAGAGTCCCGCCCTGATCAAATCTACATGCTGACATTCACCCACAGTCATAGCGCCACCTGCTGGCAACAGGAAGTGACCTTTAATGAAGCAGCCCCCGCCGCTTGTTTGACCGACATGTACGAAATTTCTGTGGTGCATCTACCATGACCAGACGCACAAAAAAGCCTCAAGAACCCATACCCTAAACTCAACAGGAAGTCCGCCATTTTGAATTTGGCAACCAATTTGGGACGAATTACACACTCCGTACTTTAACGAACTCCTCCTAGGGATTTAGTCGGATCAACTTCAAATTTCTGCTGTGCCTTCTAAAGGCATTGACGATGTAAAGTTGTGCTCTCTGCGCGTTTTCGTCGATGGGTGTGACCGTGGCGTCGAAGATTCGCCATGAAACAGGAAGTTGTAGTAACTTGGCTGTAAATGCCCAGATCTGCACGAAATTTAACACATTTGACAAGAGTCCCGCCCTGAACAAATCTACATGCCGATATTCACCCACAGTCATAGCGCCACCTGCTGGCAACAGGAAGTGACCTTTAACGAAGCAGCGTAGCAAATTCACATCCGCACCGGCTGAGCTGCAGAAAATGCAACACGGCCGCCTCAGACCCCGACGTGCTACAGGTGCGAGGGCCCGCCCATCGCTGCTTGCAGCTTTAATTTTCCATATGGAACATCCCAGGTGAAGATATATATATTTTTTCATTGCTCCCTTAGTGCATTCCAAACAGCTACATAATCTACACCTTTTAAAAGGGTGGTTGAATATGATTTGACTTTTCTAATGTAAGGAAGCGGTCTGATCGATGGGGAATTTGCATATCATAATTGATAATAATTATTCATACAGATTTGGATCAGACCAGACTTACATGTTAATAAATCTCCCAATGAGGGAGGCTTGTCATTTTACCTGCATGCATGCATTTGTATCCCTAAAATTAATCACAAATTAATTGCAATTAATTACACGGACCACATTTTACAAGACAGGTCAAATTAATTAGCTCAATTAATTTATACAGTTTGTGAAAATTAATTCTGTGACCACAAGAATTAGTTTTCCTGCTCTACCCTTTTAGGTATCTCTAGTTCTGTAAAGCTTGTAGCTTCGATCGAGGAATATCAGGGACTGGGATAATGAGCAACAGACAATGATTCAATCAAAATAAATATAATGCATTTAAGAAGGCAGAACTACTTAAGCATTTACTACGTTACAATGATACATGTATTTACAAACTTTAAAACAAAACTAAGAACGCGGGGGTTTAGACAATGGGAACATGTGTAAAAATGAAAGAGAGAGAGAGTAGTTACAATTCACCTCGACAATCACATTTCTGAAACAACACGAAAAACACATTCTTAATGCTTCTTAATTAAGGCAGGCATACACTGTGCGATGTCTGTGCGATTTCAGCAAAGTACCGACTCACACTCAGCGAGTAAATCGCATGCGATGCAAAGGCAAAGTTCAGGATTTATGTGCTCACACTGTACGGCCCGATCGTCGAGCTGCGTCTTCACTGCTCACACTATACGTCTGCCATAACCCCCTGGATTGTGCCTATAGACGTGTATGTATCCAGGGATATTGTCAAAACAAGCATCTGCTATCAGTATCAAGATGATTTAGTATTTTCAATTTATGCATTTAATTATTATTAGTATTATTGTATTATAATCATTAGGGGAGGCCTATAGGCTAATTTTATTATTAAATTGATCCGCTACTATAATTAATTTGCCACGCAATATTTTCACAGCACATAACCAACGTGCTGCGAGGATAATAAAATATTACATAATCTTACTCATTAAAAAATGTCTAAAACATTTAGGTCGATTTCAATGAATTATAGGCATATAAAATAACTATTAACAGTCTATAATATGTCCGAACATTGGCATAATTAATCATCAATGAAAATTAAAAACAGGTTTATTTCAAAAACATTGTTTGACAAATTAATAAAAGAGGCGTTACATCGCAGGTGGGTTGAAGACGGTGGGTAATATTATCCATTTTGCAACATGAACTGGAGGTTAAGCAACAGTACTTTGTAGCTAGTTTGAACTACAGAACTTAAAGCTCTCCCTCTTTTCGTTTTTATTTTAATTTTATTTTTGCTGCAGATGAAATGGTTAAACTTCTGTTTTCGCGCAGGCGCAGTGAGGGAAAAAACACTGAGTTTAGGGCAATCGGTTCGTAGCTTTGCTTCAACTGTGTGATATAGTCACGAGGAGCGACCAAAATTTCTGACATGCCAGAAATTCATCCGACCATCCGATTGTCGATCGTGAGAGGTTAATCGCCTCTCGTTTCTCCCTGTAAACTGCACGACAAACGACGCACGACAAAGCTGAAAATCGGTCCGACACGAAAATGAGTCGCACGAGTCAGAATTCGGCTCAAAATCAGACGAAAATCTCACAGTTCATGCCCACCTTTAAAAGCTTCAAAGAAACTATACTTGCTAACTTTTGGTCTGTGTGTAGTTGACTAGTTGTGTTCTTGCATGGCCAGGTCTGGCCGCGTGTTGCATGGGGTGTCACGTGGAGCGCGGCATTCCGAATATTTCTTTGCATATTTGAGTGTTTCATTCAATAAGCATTTTGGAGGTGTCAAACTTCATGAAAGTCAGAGGAACATACGCTGATATTTAAAATGCATAAGGTTTTCCTATTTTCCTCATGCTGCAAAGTTGTTTCACTGTGACATTGGGAAACACACATACATAGAAACACATTGAATATATTTTGTTAAATCTTTTTAAACAAAAGAAATGTCCTTCTATTTTGTTCATAGACGCCTTCTACCACATTCCGATGTGTCATAAAGTCAGGTTGTCCAGTCTCATCCCGCCACGCTGTGGCTGTCACTAATTTACATTCATTCTGAAAGCTCTCAGGTTTTAGGAAGAATGCATTTAGTTATTCAGATGATCCATCATTCCGCCCAGTCCTTAGACTAACTTTAGTTAAAAAAAAAAAATAGGGACAAATAAAGTAAGGAATAATTGACGACGCACCGTTGAATTATTAGGAAAATAATGACACCTGAAATCAGGGTATCTTCCGTCTATTCCAAATCCGTTTTAAATTAAAAAACGGAAAACGAAAAAACTTAGCGTTTCTTAATTGATCATTTTATTGCCTTTGTTTAATATTTACTTAAAGTTATAATTTTCTATTCTACCAGACACATAATCTACTCTAAATAATGGATTTTAGAATATTGGCCTATAAATTGAATATGACATTTAGATTTTTTTAACTAGCTGCTGTGACCCGGAAGTTCATGCGCCAGGACGAGTGGATGCCGAATTCAGTCGCAAAATTTCCTTCAAGCAAGCCATGGATACATACACGCTTTTCAAGGGTCCTAAGAGGGTAACTTTAAAGGATGAAGACATGACAACTGATAAAATTGGCCGTATATTTCAGGCAATTAGTTCGATTTTTTTAATTTATTT